ATTAGCGACACACATCCCGTAGAAAAATAACTCGCTAAAAAACGCCAACCAGAAAAGAATAATTCAAATCATTTAAAATCTGTCCCGGGAGTTAGGTCGTCATTTAGAAGAGCTATGACGTCTCATAATGAAAGCCGAGTTCTTTCGCAAATCACGAGGCTGATACCCCTTCTGAAAACCAGAGCAACCATTAGTTTAAGTACATGGAATGTTCCAACAATTCGGGAGACCGAGAACGTCATCCAAGTTGATGAAGAAATGAGATGATACAACTTGGATGTGCTTGGAATCAGTGAAACACATGGGACGCAGTTTGAACAACAAAGACTAATTTCAGGGAAGAAAATTCTTCACAAACACCAGGAGTTGTACTGATGCTATCCAAACAAGCACAAAAAGCACTTATAGGATGAGAATCTCATGGATCCAGGATCATCAAAGCCGCCTTCAAAACATGGAAAGAAAGCATTACAATGAATTTCACCAAATGCTATGCGTCTATCAACGATTAAAATGAAGATGTTAAAGATCGTTTCTACGATATGCTACAGTCAATTGTTGAGAAATGCTCAACAAAGGACTTGACAATTCTGAGTTTTTAACGCCAAGGTCGGAATGAAGAACACCAGATATGAAGATATCCTAGGACGACATAGTCTAGGAAAAAAGAACGAAGATAGCTAAAGATCTGAGAATCTATGTTTCCTGAGTAGACTGGTCATAGGCGGCACTATATTCTCACATAAACGCACATACAAAAACACATGGACTCCACCGGATCACACTATGCATCAACAAACATTTTAGGAGGATGATGGAGTTGATATAGCATCAGATCATCACTTTCTGTTCGCCTAGATGGAATGCAATACTTTAGACACTACCAAGTTGATTCCTTTGTGGTTATCACAAAACTATTCCTGTCAATGCTTATAGACTGGAACGATCAGAGATCAAGACCACCCAGATGGAATCGCGTCCACTTCTCAGACTCTAACGGAGGTCTCAGCCAATCTAACAGATAAAACTGGACTACCTTTCCCATAAAAATCTCCGAAATTAACCCATCAGAGCGTTCTCTCGCTTTAGATGTTGGCGTATGTTGGCATCCCATTTAGATTGCTTGGTAAAAGTAAACAACTGAAGGGTAGGTCGATAACATTTGGATTTTTCTTCAGCGTTTTCCTCATCTCAACCTCTTGGGTTAAAAGTGGATCATTATCCCATCTTGTTTACAAATAATATCCTCAACTCGTAAATTCCTAATATCTGTTTCTTTGATAAACTTGAAAAATCGACTACAACTCCCGCCTTTTCCATCTCTTTTGAGTTAGCTCACCGCCACCGCTTACTATCATTGGGTAAACTTTTTGTCAGTCTACATATCGTGCTTGAAACTCGATAGTATGAGTTTCCTAGTATCTATCAGTTCAGTAGACGCTGATGAAATTTGTTGACTTTTCTTAACCTTTTGGTTTAAGTTATTGGTAGATATCACTGCTGTCTGGATATCATATGATTCCGCGTCAGTTTGACGATTGAATAGCTGGTTCTCTAGTTGTTCCTGAAGTATCTTGTTAACATTTTTGTCGTTAAGTTGAGCTCTGAGCAGTCTTCTTGACGCGGATTTTCTGTATCCAGTAGTACGCAAACGCGTGCGGGTACTGATGAATGATTAGGATCTATATGTACACACTAAGTGTGGAGGCTGTTGATAATACTCAGTTGCTCAAATTGAAGTAGATGAGGTCCGGACCCATAACTTATTGGCTCAAAGTCGAACACACCACTGGCCTACATGTTTGAATATCAAAACCTTGATATGTCAAAATATGTTCAACTATAGCTGGTAATTCTATCGAAGCGTCGAAGTAACCCCGATTGAGATACGCGCAAAATCGAAGTTCCAAAACAACGATTTGTCTACAAAAGCCGTTCTTTATTAAATAATACACAAAATTTAGTTACAAACCTCAACTTGTGAGGTGTCTAGGCGTTTAAACGCGTCGCTCAAGAATGAAAATAGCAAAAGCTTCCTGTAAGAGTAACATAAAGAATGATTACAACATACGATAGTCCAAAGACAGCCGATAGCTGTGTCTAAATTTGGTAACAGTTTATGAACAACCGAAACTCGAACCAAGAGCAAACAATATGGAAACTGATGCATTCAAACAAATGCACAAAACTGTGGATAACCTTTACAGTAATTATATTAAAGTGATTATAATGATAAATACAATTATAAGTAAAATAAACGTTAAAGATACATGTGAACATTCCAGAATGTTACAGTACAACTTGAGATACAACATAAGTGTGAAAATTGTTTGGCATACAGCTGCCTACTGAACGTAAATAAGTAGTATAAAATAACATACAAAGAGTAGAAAGGGAACATGTAGGAACAATGTAAGACAAACTTAACAATAGCATTAAAATATTGATTTTTCCTTCAAAGCTATCAAAAACTCGTTTTGTCCGCATACCCTGAATTTCGTTTCCGTGCAAAGCGTATTCGTTTAGTTGAAAAAGATAAACAATTATACGAAATAGAGGATAACTGGAACGCACAAATGGGTTTTATGGTGAGATGATTTGTGCAGTTATAAACGTGCTTTTCTAAAAGCCAAAACACTGACTAATAAAGCATTAAACTCCAATGAAGAAGGTTGATAAAGACCAAGGAAATTTATTTACTATTTACTTGTTGTCTCTGTACGGAGCATAACAAATGAAAACGATTCCTTACTTAACATTGAATTTTAAGATTATGAGGAAATAACGGGTGAGAATTAAGCTACACAATACAACAGAAATACGACTACATCCATGGACGAGAAGTGAGTTTCCAAATGACCTATAGTTTTTCAGAGTTGTGTTATTTCGTCGTACGCGATGACAGAACATCGTAACTATAGAAGTCAAGTCAAACAGTCACTTTTTTCACTGAAGATCTCGATAGTATTATTTTGTATCAAACAACAAACAAGTTATAAACCTGATTGAACATGTCTTGGCAATTTACTGCTGATATTAGGTTGTATGACAGAATGAGGAAACCAGTTTTTGACATGCTGTGACGGTACATAATATGAAAAATTAAAAAAACGGTGAGTGCCTTGTGCCACTTACAAAAGATTGGTGAGACTATAATACTCCAAGATTTATGTATAACATATTGGAAATTGATTATGGTGTTTTATTTGTAGTAGGAAGCAAGTAGGCTACATTATTAGTAGAAACAGCTAGCAAACAAGAAAATTTTGAGTAATCTACAGAACATGTCGACACGTTTGAGCAAATTATTGAAACTAAGAATTTGAATGTTAAGAAGTGGACTCCGAACAAAAATTGAAATCTAAGTGGTGTGTGGACGAGAATGATAATGATTAGTTGTCTGCTAAGTCAGACATGTAGATAGTCTGACAGGTGTCAGATGAGTTATATATTCCCCTATCCTTATCATTATTATGACGCACTTATCATTGATTGTTCATTGTTGTTGGATTGTGTCAGGTTTTCAGTGTGGAAATATATTTACATTGTGGTCAGGCTAATTACGTGTTCTTGATCTGAGTTGTGTTGAAGTCCTGTAGAATAGACACTGGGAGGGAATCTAGTGTAGATAATCGTTTAAGGTAAATTAACGCGCCATACGTGTAAACCCAACCGTTATAACATTAGACGAAGTAAAACCAAGTGTCATAATACTAAGATTTTAAATGAATCAATACACTTAAACGGGGGGTGAAAATAGATAATATGAATGTGTTAGACAGTGGTCTTAAGTGAGAAAAACAAAAAGAAACCCAATGTATAGTGGAATACAGATGGATTTTAAAAACGATAGCAGAACTTTTTCTAAACAAACTTGATCATTAATCGGTGGCAAGTTAATTTTAGAACTAATAGTTTATAAGAAACAAGTTTTAAAACTTCTAACGCTTCTGGTAACAGCTACTAGATTATCACTTTAAGCTGTGCACTAATACTAAGATTTATGTAAGATATTATTGAGATGTTACCGGTCTTTGTGCCATGCCATTGTTTTTTAACTGAGACAGAAAAACCATTTCTAGAAGTAGTAGCAAATAGATTATAGACTGAAGTAAAATAACAGTATAAAAGTTGAATGAAGAGTTGCTAGGGTTGAAGCTATCACGGGTTCACTTAATCTGCGAACGAGAAACAAGATTCGGTGACCAAAGACCAGTAAGCTAGCTATTGATGCGTCCCAGCCCAGCTAACTAGAGGGAGAAGTTCAAGCTTGGAATGGGGAAGTATATTCCGCAAGCAGCCAGAAACAAGCGATAACAACAAACACAATTCAAAACGTATACATACAGTACAAAACCGTCCCTGGGAAGAGTTTCCGAATAGCATACTAAAAGACGCAACGGACCAATAGCATTTAAGACATTTCCCAGCGGGGAATACGACATGAAGGTGACAAGAGCGCTTCCGGCGCGAAAACGAAGAAATTCAAGTTCTCTAAATAAAATTACAAAATTAGGTCTTTTCCCAAGTGAGTCTGGGGATCTAATGTCCCCAACGAGAGTTTTGGTCAAACTACTTTTCTAAAAAAGCTTATAACTTCTGCACTCTCTTCGTACAGTTTATTATATGAAGTAGGCTTGTTAACTTTGTAATGTACTTCAGAAGTTGCTTCATCCAAAAACACTTCAATCTATTTTTGAGTGGAAGTAATTATTTTTAATAAGTGAATAAGCAAGACTAATTTGCAAATTAAAAATCTGTATGATTAACTGAATCTTGTTTCAAAAAATCCCTTTTACATTTAAAGCATTGAAAAGAAAACTAAGATTTTCCTTAAATGTTGAGGATAAATGGATTGCCAAAATACCACAGTGTTATCAGACAAATAATTTTGATATAATGAATAAAGAAAATACATTTTTACATTCATCTTTTTTCTTCAACATTAAAGTTGTCTCATATTCATGACTTCTGATTTCTTGAAAGTTGTACATAAAAAGCTACATGACAGAACAGGTTCGTTGTTCAGTGTGTAAAGAGCCAACCGCAAAATTTTCGGCTGTTCCATCAAATAAATATTCATTTTTGTTACTACTATCCGTTTCATTGAGATTAAGAACCACAAGACGCCCTAGTGGGCCAGGATCGTCTACAGACTTCCAGCGATCAGGATAACTAGATGTCCAATGTTTAGTAATGGCAGCTTCGTTACTAAGAATAATTGGTGTCGAACAACTAGAATTGTTAAGGGATGTGTGGTGTGAATCCAAAAGTACTGAACGGTTAACAGGGTTATTTTTAAGAACTACTGCTTCATCCATTGCAGACGACAAGGTAAGATCCAAAAGACTAGGACTTACTTTCGCTACCTGTAAATGAAAAACAAACAAACAGAAAAAGGACATTTAAGTGCATAAGTACTCATAATGAAAGATTCTATATGACTTAAACTACTTTCCAAACAACATGTAGTCCCAATAATAATTTGGACACTAAATTTGTAAGAATAAAAAATGATTCAGTTATAAAATATTAACTTTCTCCAAAGTTGCAGTTTTTACGAGGTTATATCTTTGTACGAATAATAGCACTTTTCAATTTACAGCTCAGCCATGATACACGAACCTTTTTAATAACTTATTGATATATCCTTATGAATTTTATTTCATGTTTTTTAACTTTCTGTCGGGTGTAAATATAAATCCTACTGATGAAGTCTTTTGTTGAATAAATCGTTCTCAAGGAGAACGATAGTCTACACACTTTGACAAAACGGACCAGCTTAGGAGGTTTCCACACCGTGTAGTTTTATCTTAATAGAACATTAGTTAATAAGCTAAGGTCAATTCTACTACTAACCTTATTTTCCGCCATAGACCACCTCCTATATTTTCTTATTGATCATTACCTGCTACAGTTTCCACTACAGAGTTGTGCGCAACGGGACCAATCGTAGCGTCGTTATTCAGAAGTCTAGCGTATCCAAAATAAAAGGAACGTTTGAGGCAACGAGTTCTGGTTAAGAAATAAAAGTAATGAAATGAGACATGCTTAAGAAAGACAATGGGGGTCAGGTTTTTTGATTGCCGATAGATGAATATGGAGCGATTAGTTTGGTGATGCGAACGTATGAGTACAAATAAAATCACTTTTCCATGAGCCTTTCTGTCACAGAAAAAGTTTAGGTTGTACGCCGGCCCTCGTGCAGAATAAAAAGAACTAAATAAATGCCACATGAAGTTGTGTGTCGAAATTGTTATAAAAGAAATAACTAATATTCAGTAGTTAATATATCGCTAACTTATCAACATACTCAATAGGATAAGGTTTGAACCAGGCTTGTCAATTACGTAAGTCAAAAATATGCTATTAAATCAAGTTTACTTAAGATCTGATCGTCTTCTCTCGATACAAGGTATACTGTCAAGTTCCAGATCGCAATAGCTGTAACCATATAAGGGATACCTTTGCAAATCAACGTGCCTGCTGAAGATGGAAGCTACTTGTGATAATCTTGGAGGGGGGAGGATACAAGGAATCTTCCGAATGGCCGGTCCTTCTAAATCGCTTTACTTCCCAAAATATCGGGCCAGATACATTGGATATACGGTGTGTGTTTGACGACTGCCCCTATGTTGAAGGACGCTTTGCATCATTCAGTGAAAATGACACCGAGGAGCGGTTTTAGTGTGCTTCCATTAGTAGGTTTCAGTTTGACAAAATAAATACTATATTGTCAAAAAGTATCAAAGACGACCAGACTAAAATACGAAGAATTAAGGATGGACTCACTGTTTGTCGGACGTACCATTGTGTTGCAGTTGAAATAAGTTGAAGTTATGCTGGGACTTGTATCAAACGTAACGAGCAAGCACTTAACCGCTAACGAAATACTGCTACGTTTTTACCCGTCGCCTGTATCAAAATGATCTACCGGAGATATCTGAAATAAGGCTGAGTAAGCTTGACCTGGATAATATAAGTGGCTTTACAAGGAAAACAAACATTATCTTATCGATGGGATCTCGCAATAAATATACAAGTCATTTGGTCTGTCAAGAGACGTCTTGTCTAACAACTAGAATTAAACCTCACCCAAGAGCACCTTAAGTTAATACTTCACATCTTGTGAGGAATGTCGTTCGTCCAAAGAATAAAAAAGTATGATAAAGGAAAATTACAAATGGGGTTTTATTCTCATATACTGAAGATAATGGTATTCGTACAATCACATTTTTAAAAATAAATTTCATTACACTTATTAGAGGAATATGTTTTTAATTCAATTTATAAAGTTTTAGCTTTTGAACACAATCGTTATCAGTTTGGTTATATGTTTCTTAAGTACTTAAAAGTTTTGAATCCATATTTTGTAATCTCAGTTACCTACAGTACACAGTATCATTTACAAACCATTTGTTGTAATAAATGCAGCTACAATGTTTTCCTGAGTTGACCTAATCGACAAAACTAGGAGCCGACAAATTAATAAACGTATTGGGAGTAGTTTTCTTCCCAACACACCACATATGTTAAATCCCAATTATGTGTGAAAGCAATCAGGGAAATGATTATTTATTGGTATAAATAAAGTAATTGAATGATAGACCAACCATTTTGAGGACGGGGCTGGCTTCGAAACCAGCATTCTAAACAGTCACAATTATGGTCCGGTATACGAGTTTCGATTGACAATGTGAACGTTTAATGCCAATCTGAGAAATCTGATGAGTAACTTGTAACGACTGTCGAAATTTTGATTTCCATAGGCTCCTAAAACTAACTACGACATCAAAAGCATTAAACAAAGACCGTGATTGAGAAAGTTATAGGCTTTGCATAACTGATATAGATTTTGCACAACGAGAAACCTAAAGCTGTGAATAAACAATAAAATGACCGAAATAAAACACAGAGTGAAGCAGCATTCACCATGTCTTGCGAAAATTTTCTGGAATATCGCAAATCCTAGTATTAACGTGGGCCTCTGGCTGGTCGCGGGTACTTTAAATTTCGGTGCGCTATCAATCCACTTATTACACATACTGTGCAACGCGAGTGCTATCACTACGTTACCTGAGCTACAACACGTCTGGAACTGCTTTTGAAATCCAAATGAATTGCCTACTCGACACCCTGTGCATCATTTTCTTATCACACGTCTGCTTCGTTCATATAGCACAGAAAAGACTAACAAATATAGGGTAGAATGCAAACACATGCACTTGTAATAAATAACTTTAGAAACGTTCGAATTTTCTAGTAGAGAAGCTTTAGTGAGTCAGCGTTTCATGTTTAAATGGCAAGAAATGAAAGATAATTGTTATACAACCACAGGGTGGTAGCCCAAAATTACCTGGGTAGCTGTGACTAACAGGGTATTTTCTAGTGTGATTAGAATTAACCCAAGATAATTTGTGAAGGTGATTTTGGGAGAAAGTGCCTCCTCTTATAACCATGTTGTTGGAGATACGTGAATCTACCAGTCTTCTGTCATCCCGGTCCATGTTGCTCATTGATGTGTAAGCATCGCATGTTATCCATTTCCACTTTGGCTTTCAGGTACTTTGTTCGAATGTTCTGAGCATTCTTTTAGAATAGACCGCACAATATTATAAATCTGGTCATCATCAATGACAACATTGGTGGGTACACAGCACCAGATAACATTCAGTTTAATTCTTTGCCCTCTTGGTTTTAAGATGATTTGATGGTCTTCGATCCATGTGTTTCCTATCCTATAAGTTATTTTTAGGGCAGAATTAGTGTAACTCCTTTTTATTCTGAACAACTTTTTCATGACCGGAATACAGCATTGTGTTTATTGAAGCTAATCTCTTTTTTATCCAAGTGATGTCCCAGTCACCGCCTGGTTGAATCTTCAAAATTCCATCGCTGTTTGAATGACCCTCCCGGTCTTTGACGTTGTCGACACATCTCATTTTCCCATATTAGCCAATGCTCTGTTTATCAGAAGGAACATTGACCTTGGAGCTTCGAAAAACTCCTGCCACACGACGAGGTTTCAAAACCATTTAAATGAAGACCCTTTCACTCAGCGCAGATATAACATGATCTAATTAGTCTTTCCGCGTCAGCCTTTTCGCAGCAAACTTATTTTCCACAAGGCTGACTCATGTATCAGGCATTTGATGTCACCACACGATATCAGAGACAAATGTTGAATCATCCCTATGTGTAGCGACATTATTGGACATCGTACCCGTTGTTTAACACTTTGAAGGTCGGCCATAGTAAAGTATTTTCATCAGAAATGAAGATTGGCGAACTGAGACCAGAACAGTCGGCGACGGTTGAAGCTTTAGTGCGTGAACTACAAAACTTGGATAGCAGTGCATTTCCTGCTTTGTACTCTTTGGCAGAAAATGGTATGATTTGCTTCCAAAGACTGATTTTTTTCAGAACTCTTCCGTCTGCGTGGCGGCATTGCGGACTCATTTGACTTGGTCAGCAACAAACCTGTAAAAGTGAGGGCAAAAATAGAAATTCCTCAGGCACAATATCCTGCTATTAATTTCGTTGGGAAACTTCTTGGTCCGGGAGGTCAGACACTGAGAGCAGTGCAAGAAACCACCAAAACAAAAATGGCGATCTTAGGTGCTGGCAGTCTAAGAGATGACGCTAAGGAAAAGCAGCTCCTTTCCAATGGTGATCCGAAATATCAGCACCTCAAGCAAAAGCTGCACCTTCAAGTTGATAGTTTAGGTCCACCCTCGGAATCATGTTATCGGTTAGCCCATGCATTAGCGGAAGTAAGGAAAATCATGCTACCAGTGAGTTGATGTTTTCAAAGTTATGTACGGTTATAGGAGCAAACAGAACCCACAGCTCAACAGTGGGTTCAGCAAAACCAGCCTTTGCCCGTGGCCGGAAGGAATGTTTCCGTCAGAAATATCCGTCCCCCTTTGCGCGGTCCGCCACCACCACCACTTCAAGCTCCCTTCGCTGCACCTCCAGTGCAGCTTCCTTTCCGTGGTCGAGGTAAGCCTTGGATAGGCAGAGGTGTTGCCAAGAACGGTGTTGCTATCCAACCACCAGTTCCTGTTGCTTCCGAGGTGTTTGCTAATGATGTGAATACCGTTGCCTACCCTCCAATAACTCTGTATGAGCAGAATGAGTTCAATTCCCATGTTTTTGAAGATTTCGGAACGAACTATGGTAGGTCGGGTAGCTTCGCTTTTTCCCCTATTTTGTGCAGCTCTTTGCGGGTTTAATTGAGGTCTAAATTTTTAATCTAGGACAAGACGACACTTGGGGAAAAGTCAGCATCCCAGAACCTCGCGGACGAGGCCGAGGCCATCCCTACGCGCGTCCAGGAATCAATAATGATCACAATAATTTCGGGTAAATAACTAATTTGACCATGAGGCTCCGTCATCAAAAATAATCAATAATGACAATGAAGCCAGAGGTGCATTTCATGTTTGTCTTCGCCAATCAAATACCACTAAACTCGGTAAAAAAATTTGCTTAAATTATCTAACTGCTTGTCTGTAGTACTGTCTAAATATGTAATGATAAAATTAAACTTGTTAAATTCACTAAATAAATACCATAATACCTCTGTCAATATCCTAATTATGGATACTTCGCCTTTTTTACTTGAAATAGGTTTGTTAGCTAATTTTAATACTGCCATGCGTGTGATTATATCTTGCCTCAATGAGTAGTAAAGTTAATTGGAATAATACCCGTGGAATTACATGTTTTTAACTCAACTAAATTTTGAGATCGTCGTTTCCTTATATTAATAGGACCGGTAAAGTGCAGACTGTCAGTATCTGGAAATATCCATACAATGCCAATTTTAATACATAAAACTAATTTCCCATCCATCTCCAACTTGTAAGGTTAAGTCGTAATATCTACTCTGCTGTAAATAAGTAAATTTTATGTTTCACTGGCTTTCATAAAGTCTTGTTGCATTTATGCGTTTCTCGGTAGTTCATGCGTCAGAGATCCTCCGTAGATTTTCTTGCTTGGGTCTCGGTAATCTGGTTTAATGTTGATTAACATGAAAGGCTTTGTATGCGCTGCTGATTCAAACCCAATTTCCTTCGCTTAATCACATCGACATGTAAATGCAGTGCGGACAGTGGTTGCTGGATTATCAACCACTATTCCGTTAGTTGTATCACACTTCAAAGTACACAAAGTCCCCACTGGTACTACTGTGACTTGCGTAGTCAGTTAATTAGTTTCAAAAGTTAGTTTTGTAATGTACTAGCTGTTTCGTTATAGTGCTAGCTAGTATACAAATGTTCCTAAACTACTTACAAGTAGTACTGAATCGTCTAGTTTGTTTCGTAGTATTTTTTATTACAAACTCGGTTAATGATCAGATTTTAGCACTCATATCAAGAATAACTAACTCGCAAAATGAACCCTCAAATTCCATCCTGAGTGGTTTTATCAGGTCTTATTGGTAGCTCAGTATTAAAGAATGTCAAGTGACATTTGTTCATGTTTGCATAATTATTCCTACGGAGGTCCAGTTTCTTCACCGATTGACCTAATTTCAGTTCACGTAGGACATTCCAATTGTTTACCACTCGGTGGAAAATACAGGTTCCCACTCTGCGTTCGGTCGCGGTTGTTACACATTTTGACCTCGATGATTCGTCCTAGAAAGAATAAAAAGACGTTAACCTTCAGATCATTATTAAAGATACATATTGTCTAAACCTTACGTTTTGCGATTAAAAAATAAGGTAGTTTTAATCGCTCGTTATGGTAGTTTGAAAAGTCAGTTACCACATTCATGCCCACTTATTGAATACACTTAAATGTCAGCATCTGTAATAAGATATGGGCTAGCTGCTTCAGTGCAGTAGTCTAAGTGTTCTCACATAATGGAACGAAATATTTGGAAGTCCTGGATTAATCGTAGCACGCAAAAACTACTAGCTACTTCATCGTAGTGTGCAACTGTTTCGTAATCATGATATACAATTGCTCGTAGGCTTTTTGCTGTTGCGATTGTAAGTTATATCAAATCTTTGGGCCCCGAGTTTATAATAAACTCAGATAATCTATCTAAATCTGCTAGACGATCAGGGTAATTATCATCATTGTTCATTAGTCTGTAAATCTTTATATATTCAACAAAGGCGCGATGGCTTAATCAGTTTTCGTAGTTCATTGACAGTGAAAATAATTGGGTACCTTAAGTATTACCTTGAAGCACGTTTTTCCATTCAGATACTGTTCCATTTACTCTCAATCTTTTATGAAAAGGAAATTTCTTATCCCATCTTTTGCTGTACATGTTATTCTGAGGTTGGTAAGCTTCTGTACACGTCGGATGGTTTGGCAAGATCTAGGAATATTGGGTCCACAGGCACAGTGAGCTGTTCAGTCCTCTCAGTGATCAGGTTAGTCAAGTGGGTCTAACTTACGAATTCCTTGTTAATCTGGTGTTAAAACTTAATGATTCTACGTATATGAGCAAATTATTCCTGAGTATTTTTTGTAGTACCAACCACTGCCAGTTAGACTGGCAATTTTGTAGTTAGTCGTTAGTTCCATGCTTATTAGTCCATCTAGCTTCAACACTCACAATCACTCGGAAATTGAGTTTAGAAGAGCAACGTATTGGTTAGTTCTGCCAGTGGTCGAGAGGAATATGGCAATGTGGGTGTATTCAACCACGACCCGGCGATTTACTAGATTTTTGACCATTGAATCGATCTTGGGTAACCAAAATATTTGGACGGAAAGAAATGGGTTCGTTGAACATCATATGTATTAAGTCTAAAGTACAATATAGTACGAATAATGACCCTACCAGTACAGAAATATATACCGTGATTCTAAATGTAGAGTCCACAGACGTCGTGACCCGTGAAATCGCTCGCGCTAGGTCTCATGCCTGTCATTGAAAAATAACTTGGAAGTATAGGCTTCCAAGGCATAACTACTTGAAAACCTTGGTTTTTCAAGATTTTTAGACTATATGTTCGTTTTATAAGCAAAGATGCACGGTGGCTAGCAGTGGAATCCAGAACGCGCGTCTCGTCCACTGCTAGCTACTATCCATCCTTGCTTGTAAAGCTTGTGACAACGCAATATCGAGGCAGTCCGCACATGATGCATGTATACCAACAAGTGACCGATCGAAGCTGCTACCTTGACGCGGTGGTCGGGCTTGCCTATTGTGATGACCCAACCGAGCTATATTGGCTGGAACATATGTTCCTGCAGGTTCTACCATGCCAGGCAGGTCGATTGGCGAACGGTAAGACTAAAAGCAGCAACTCAAGGTCTGAGGGCGAAGTCGTACTGCTGACTGTAGAGAGGTGTGACAGCAGTAAGGTGTTTCCCTCGGACAACCAGCATGACAGCGATGCTGCCTTCCCACAAGGAGGGATGGGGTTAGAAAAGGTCGACCCTAAAAATGCACACCTCACCTTACCTCACGGATTTCCGTCTCCGGCGGTAAGGCCCTTGAAGAACGGAGCTAACACATCAAAAACCTTCCACAAAAAGGCCGTGCGCGACCGGCCTCAAGCAGTTGTCCCTTGGGCTCTGCGGTCACGCTCCCAGGTCGTCAAGACCAACACTAATCCAATTTCCTTTTCAGGTTCCTCAAGAAATACCCTTCCACGGTGTGGGCAGCCGGGAAGTGATATCAGCCCTCATACCCGTAACAGCACAACAGGCCAAGGTGGTCACATTCAAATCCTTCCTACACCTCCTAATACCTCTCTTATCCTCCCGACTAACCCTCCTCACGTCTCTTTATCACCTCGCACCGCTAGGGCAAACGATTCGAGTACGTGGAACGCCATTCCTGGTCTCCTGAAACCACGCTCTAAACTACACGTAGGAGCTTTTAACGTACGAACACTTTGCCAAATAGGACAGCAGGCTTCCTTAGCTAAAACTCTAGAATCTCGCGCCATCGATGTGTGCTGCGTCTCCGAAACGCGCATACAGGATCCAAGTAGCGTCATTCATTTGACCTCACCATGGCAAAATAAAGAACCGACTCGATTTACGCTTCGTGTATCTGGAAGCCCTGATTCTGCTTCCCGTGGCCTCGCCGGCGTAGGTATAGCATTGAGTCCTAGGGCAGAACTAGCTCTCTTAGAGTGGATCCCAGTAAACAGTCGTTTGTGCGTTGTCCGACTGAACGGAACAGTAAGAATCCGGAAAGATAGGGACACTCGTCGTTGCCTCTTCGTCGTCTCTGCCTATTCTCCCACTGACTGCAGCTCAGATGATGTAAAAGATGAGTTTTACAGAAAGCTTTCGGACCTTCTCCGAAAAGCTAAGCGCTCGGATGTAGTAATAGTGGCCGGTGACTTTAATGCTCAAGTAGGTAAACTAAGCGATAAGGAAAGACACCTAGGTGGATCTTATGGTGTCGTGGCTCAAAGAACAGATAATGGCGACCGTCTGTTGCAGCTATGCTCAGATAACCGCCTGTTCCTTGCAAATACTAACTTTAAGCATAAGGAAAAACATCTTTTAACATGGCGACCCCCTAATTCGTCCCAACGTTGGACCCAAATAGATCACATCGCTATCAGCCACCGATGGAGGGGCTCGATAGAAGACTGTCGCTCATTCTGGAGCACATGCCTAGATTCGGATCATGCTCTAGTGCGAGCGCGTATTTGCTTGCGTCTTACTGGACGTAGGAAAGATCCTGCAAGGAAACCTCTTAGGGCCTACTTAATGATAGTCAAGCTAAGAATATATTTCAGGAACAACTAGGAAAACAGTTAGGCAGCCATGTATGTGATGCCCACCCCGAGGCAGCATGGAACGATATCCGAAAAGCTGTGGAAACAGCAGTGATATCTGCTAGTAAGGTAAACCGTAAAGTTAGGGAGCAACACTGGAACTCAGCAGCATCTATCGCACTGATAGATGCTCGAAAACTCATTCCACCTGGCTCTGAACATAATGAAGAGCGGAGTCAGCTTAAGCGCAAGCTGACAAGAAGTCTACGCAATGATCGCGAACAGTGGTGGGTAGCGAAAGCAAGAGAGATGGAAAAGGCAGCGGCAATAGGTAATAGCAGACAATTGTTTAGACTCGTTAAGGAAACCGGAATTAGGAACCCGACCGTTAGCGAAACAATCTCAGAGAAAGATGGACATATTATTCATTCTCAATCCAGGAGATTGGATCGATGGGCAGAACACTTT